ATTATTCACACAAAACTAATGCAAAGGTTAATGATTTTAAATGGCGAGACATCCATCTCGCAAACAATTCAAATATTACACAAAAACCTCAGATCCGTTATGAATGAATTGATCCTTGTTCATATAAATTTCTGCCGTATTAGTTGTTATTTTTACACAAGCTTTCGTCTGTTCTTACAGACATCTTCAGGTATATAATAGATGTTGTTCTTGTTTTTTTCTCTTAGTAATAAGAGGACATCGAAAATATATGTATTGTATCCGAAATGCTATTGAAAATGAGATATTGGTTTTTGAACGCGCCCAAAGCAACGCTAAGTTTGATTTTGAATTTTTCTTTTTAAAATGTTTGCGTTTATACCAAATATGGTAATGAACAAATTATTTTACTGGTAAATTTTACTGTCGAAGTGGCATGAACTATATTGTTCAATAATTACAGTAATGTCGAACCAAAAAGTCGCACATGGATCAGATATTTAAATTACAATAAACGTGAATCAATTTACAAATTTGAATTATTCACAAAAACTAATGCAAAGGTTAATGATTTTAAATGGAGACATCCATCTAAAAACAATTCAAATATTTTGCATTCCAGATCCGTTATGAATTGTATCCGAAATTCCTTGTTATTCATATTTATTTCTGCCCCAGAATTAAAATGATATTTTTTTACACAAGCTTTTTAAAAAACGAAAGCTGTTCCTTATAAATAACTTACGGCAGAAATTTATATAAACAAGGATCAATTCATATAATATCTGAGGTTTTGTTCTTATTTTTGTTTGGACAAAATCATTAACCTTGCATAATAATTCATGTATTTGTAAATTGGACATTGTAAAAATATCTGATGTGCGACTTTTTGTTATCGACATTACTGTAAATGCTATAGTTCATGCCAAAAAAATTTACCAGTAAAATAATTTGTTCATTACCATATTTGTTTTAAAAAGAAAAAAATTCAAAATCAAACATTTAAAAACCAATATCTCATTTTCAATAGCATTTCGGATAAATACACATATTTTTCGATGTCCTCTTATTACTAAGAGAAAAAAACAAGAACAACATCTATTATATACCTGAAGATGTCTGAAACAGACGAAAAGCTTGTGTAAAAATAACAACTAATACGGCAGAAATTTATATGAACAAGGATCAATTCATTCATAACGGATCTGAGGTTTTTGTGTAATATTTGAATTGTTTGCGAGATGGATGTCTCTCGCCATTTAAAATCATTAACCTTGCATTAGTTTTGTGAATATATGTATATATATATATATATATATATATATATATATATATATATATATATATATATATATATATAAGGGGGGTCACTATACACGGATAACAGGAGGTCGCACGATATACAGGTAATTTTTTTGAAGAGGTTCCAAATCATGCCTTTTCGGTGAACGGTTGCACTATACACGGGCAATATTTTTCTGAAGGGGTTAAAACTAATACAAAATATTTTTCAGGTGTCGTACTATACTTGAAGTTGGCTTATATATGAGTACTATACGGTGAATAGTTATACTTGAGGTGAGTACATCTGTCATACTTGTTTTGTTTTTTGTTTTTCTTGGGGAAGAAACATAGTCGTGTTCTTTTACGTTCACTTTTGCACAAATACCCTTCGAAAAGATACGAATCCGCCTCTTTCCCCCTCAGCTATTGGCTAAATAGCCCGAGTTGACTGTGATGACTTAACTTGAGGCAGCAACCAATGTAGAAGAAAAAAATCTATCTTGCCACAGACACACTACTGTGAACATGGCTGCAGCTCGTTGTGCCGCTACAATCCAAATGAGTTACACCACTTGTGACACTTCTTTCATTCAAACGAAAAATAGAATATAACGGGAGTGGTACCCTGGATAGAGCTTATTGTTGTTGTTGCTTTAAAAAGGACTTGATTGGTGTTTCTGTTTTATCTGTAAAACCTTTGCAATCCTGAAATTCTAAAAATCAAAATTCTAAAAAAAATCCTAATTTTTTTTTTAAGCTTTTCACCCAAAGCAAGGCGGGAGAGCCACTAGCACGCGTGTCGTTACAAAGAGTGAAGGAGAAGGAAAAGACTGTGTATAGAGGGGACTGAAGAAAAGATAAAAGAAGAATAGGGATTAAGGCAACAGAAGATGGCGATTGACGTTGCATTTAAATTTTTAAAGATTATAATTATCAGGGAAGCGAGTAAGAGGAAGGGTGTTCCACTGTTGGGAAGTGCGCGAAAAGAAACTGCTGGAACAAAAATGGCGGTTGCATTTAACTATTTCAAGAGTAAAAGGGTGGGACCTAGATGCCAATCTATCGCACGCTTAAATTCATATAATCGGAACCTTAGGGAAGATACCTCATCAGAACAGTTGCCATGAAAATATTTGTAGAAAAGACAGAGGGAAGCCACATCATGTCTATGAAAGAATGACTGAAATCGAGATGTCAAGTCAGGACCGATTACATTGCAGATCCTTCCTTGGATTTGGTTGAGAACTTCGAGATGAACAACAGGGGCACCAGACCAGATATGTCAACAATATTCATTGCATAGACGAATGGTAGATTTGTAAGATGAACTCTGGCAAGAAAAAAAAAACTTCTGGCACGACACAGTGAACCGACTTTCCTTGCCGAAGATGCAGCGATTGATTCAATGTAGTTGTTCCACCTCATGTCATTGGAAAACGGGAGGCCAAGAAAGCACAGTATGGCACTCTCACAGAGTCATGCATCAATTTAGGACAGGGAAATTTCTCCGTGGCTGTTAAATGAAAACAGTTTAGTTTTGGAGGTATTAACGTTTACAAGCCATTTCCTGCCCCAGTTAACCACTGACTGGATGTCCTTTTCGAGAGCAGCGGTCATGTTAACTTTGTCAGCACTGCCGGGTTTATTATTCAGACAGGAGTAAATGGTAGTGTCGTCTGCATAGATGCCAACTTGAGAACTGATGACATCAGGGAAATCATTGATCAACGAGTATACCTGCAAATCTTGAATTTTCTTTGATTGCTATCGACAAATGTTATTGCGTAGTTATTTCAGACACGGGTTCTCGGATGGCCACCGAAGTTAAGGAACGACGAACTTGGTCAGTATCTAGATGGGTGCCCGCTTGGAAATGTCAGCTGCCGTAAGCTTGGAATTGCGGATGGGGCAATGGATAACGACTCGGAAATGGAAATCGGAGAACCGAAATCAAATCGAGTTCGTTATATACACTTACGCACAAAGATCGTTGGGAAAGGCATGAACCCACTTTTTCTCCAGGGCCAAGCTATTTGTATCAGTAACTCATTATTATCTCCAAAAAAAGTTATTACAATCTAAAAATATTTTCTGGGTTTAAATAACCGGCAAAGGGTTGATAAACCATCAAAAATGGATGAATCAATCAATCAATCAATCACTTACCTTCGGAAAAACATTGTCCTAGATTCGGTGGGTTGTTTAAATCCAAAGATGTCCGTACACGCAAATTGATGAGGGAGCAATTCGTTGAATCAGTAACTCCAGATAAAAAGAAGAAAGGTTCTTCTTGGCTTAGTTTCCTATCAAGTAAATCGCCCTCGTTCGATAGTCTGGCAGAACTGACACTGCCTTTTCTGGATAGAAGTGCTTCACTGGAAATTGGTTGTTTCAAGTGATCGTCAGAAGCCTTGAATTCCTGAATTTGGAAATTTGCGGTGTCCAAAATCTAGAGCAGAAAAAAAATGAATTGTACATGATAGATAGATAGATAGATAGATAGATAGATAGATGGACAGACTAGGACAGATAGATAGATAGATAGATAGATAGATAGATAGATATGAATAGATTTTGATAAGAAACAGCCTGAGATAGATAATGAACAGGAAGAGATAGGTCAATATGAACAGACTGAGATAGATAGATAAATAGATAGATAGATAGATAGATAGATAGATAGATAGATAGATAGATATGAATAGACTTTGATAAGAAACAGACTGAGATAGATAGATAGATAGATAGATAGATAGATAGATAGATAGATATGAATAGACTTTGATAAGAAACAGACTGAGATAGATAGATAGATAGATAGATAGATAGATAGATATGAATAGACTTTGATAAGAAACAGACTGAGATAGATAGATAGATAGATAGATAGATAGATAGATAGATAGATAGATAGATAGATATGAATAGATTTTGATAAGAAACAGCCTGAGATAGATAATGAACAGGAAGAGATAGGTCAATATGAACAGACTGAGATAGATAGATAGATAGATAGATAGATATGAATAGACTTTGATAAGAAACAGACTGAGATAGATAGATAGATATGAATAGACTTTGATAAGAAACAGACTGAGATAGATAGATAGATAGATAGATATGAATAGACTTTGATAAGGAACAGACTGAGATAGATAATGAACAGGAAGAGATAGGTCAATATGGACAGACTGAGATAGATAGATAGATAGATAGATAGATAGATAGATATGAATAGACTTTGATAAGGAACAGACTGAGATAGATAGATAGATAGATAGATAGATAGATAGATAGATAATGACCAGAAAGTGATAGATCTATATGAACAAATTGAGATAGATCGATAGATATGATGAAAAAAATGTACATGAAAAAGATGAATAGAAGACAAAGAAAAGTTAAAGAAGACAAAGAAGAAGTTTAAGATGGAGAAAAAGATTAAAAAAGATGAAGAGAGTATAATAAAAAATGAAGAAAAATTTTAAGAAGATGAAGAAAAGTTGCTAAAATGAAGAAATGATAAAGAAAAAGATTACAAAAAGTTGCAAAAGAAAAAGACAATATAGAAGATATAAAAAGAGAGAATAAAAAGGAATAAAAAAAATGAAAGTAAAGAAAAACAATGAAAATGATGACGACAAAGAAAAGAAAACAATGAAGAAAATGCAGCAGAATATAGAGAAAAGAAATGAAGAAATGGGAGAATAAAAAGCATGAGTAGAGAAACTACTCATGCTTTTTATTTTTTTTTTAAAACAAAAAAAAAAAGAACGATTTTTTGAGATGTACTTTTAGTCAACGTTAATTATCCTTAAAGCGTCTGTTGACGCCACTCGCTGGCGATTCGTTCAAAGAAAACAAACCTGAAACAGTGAAGGATCATCAAACCGGAAGTAATGAACTCAGAATAGGAAGTAAGCAAATTCTGGCGTCATTGCTTGCAAAAGGATAGAATAAACGGAAATTTCTCCAGCTGCAAATCCTTAAATAAATATTTGCTTTCTTTTGTTCTTGAATTATTTGCAATTTATTTTTTTTATTTCTATTTTTTTAAGAGGAGGTGCAAAAAAGTGATTCAAAGAAAATGTACTCATGTGGTAATCTCGTCTCGAGCCAGGGAGAAAAAACAAAAAACAAAAACAAAACAAAAAAACAATTTTATTTACGAAGAGAAGTGCAAAACGAATCGAGCAGGGAGCCACAGGATAAAAAGAAATGATGCCAGAAGTTTCTTTTGGAGATGAAGGGGGTGGCTCAACCAGATGTTAACAGTGTGTGTGTGTGTGTGTGTGCGTGTGTGCGCGCGCGCGTTGGGTGTGTGTGTGTGTGTGTGTGTCGGGGGGGGGTTAAATAAGATGTTAAAGCTGGGATAAACATCAGAAAAAAACAGGTACCAAATCAGATATGAAAAATGGGGTGGGGCTAAATCAGATGGCAAAAGTGGGGGATAAAACAGATGTTAACAGAATGGGGCGTAAATGAGATGTTGAAAGCGGGGTCTAAATCAGATGCTCGAAAGGGGGGGGTTACTGAATCAGATGCGAAAAATTAGGTTATGGCTTGATTAAACGTTAAAAGCTGCGGTGGGGTTCAATTAAACGCAAATAAAACGGGCGTGCTGAATTAGGTGTTCAGTATGGGTGCCAATAAGATGTTAAATGTGGGAGGGTCTAAATCAGATGCTAAAACTGGGGGTGCTAACAGTTGGTAAAAGTCGGTGGGGCTAAATCAGATTTTTTACATAAAAAAAAATGTCCAGTTCAATAACATAGTCATAGACCGAGACCAAGAAGACAAAATTGGTCTTCTGTTTACATATATTACATTAAAAGGAAGCTATGGAGTGTCATAATCACCTACATCCCGAAAAGAAAGAAATTTAGCAAATACCTAAATCAGTGCTTGCCTTGAATAAACTAGTCTTGCATATCCTTGCTAGCGAGTTCGATTCTCACTGGGTGTTTTCAATATTTTATCCTTGTATCGTCAGCCACTCAAGTGCCATACACACTTGGGCAATCATGTCTCTTTCGATTCATGATTGACTATTCAGGAGATATTCCCGCAGTAGGTTGCCATTTCTTTCTGCGGTAGACTGGTTGCCAACCAAGACTACAGGACCCAGTCTGCCCTGTTATTCAACCAATAGCCGGCGAAAGAAGAGATGGACTCATACCTTTCCCAAGAGGAATTCTCATTCCGAGCAGTTATGCATTACATTATCCCCACATCCTCAAGACAAGATTGTCTAGTCGTCTATTTGATTTAAGATGGATTTATACCTTTTTCCAAAGGTATTTACGCTTAAGTGAATATAACGAACCTGATTGGAATTCGAACTCGGATCTCTGATTTCTCATTTGATATCCATTAGAATTTTTCTATATTCTTTATAGAAAGTAAAATATCTAAAAACAGATTATTTATTTGAGAAAAGCATTAGTCAAATTGCCTGGGTGTTATTATTTTATTTATTTGATTTCTTTGTTTAACGGCATATCAATTCCTTTATGGGTCGTTTAATGTAGAAATTTAATTTTTTTTTTTTTTTGAGATTTGAAGCAATAAATATATATGTTATTCTGCTTTCACAGTTAAATACATGGTAGATGATACTCAGCTTTTATGCGTATACATGTTTGTGTGGACATAATTACTAGAGACGGTGATATGTGTGATTTATGCTGTAGTCTTGTTGAAGTTATATTTTGCAATACACTTTTATTTCTTTAAGTAATTTTAGAATATTATATGAATTAATATCACGAAAGAATTCTTTCATATTGATTGATATATTGTTGAATGAATATATATTGTTGGTAATTTTTATATAAAAATGTATTTCTGGTATTTTTACGATAAAAATGTCTCAATTGCTAAGCCTGTAGCTAGGAAAGTTTGTTCACATTGTCGTCCTTGACAATTTTTCCCGACAGAAATCTATCTTACATATTTATACGTTTACCAGTCGTTCTTTATATTTTTAAATATGGCTGCCACCTCTGGTCTGGTGCTCTTACCATATATTTAGAAATTCTTGATAAAATACAAAGAAGAATCTGCAATATTAATGGTCCTAACCTGGCATCTAGGCTTCAATCACTTTCACACCGACGTAACGTAGCTTTTACTGTGCCTTTTTTATAAATACTTTTGAATGAACACTTTGCCAGACTTTATGAATTAAAGCGAAGTAATTCTGAGATAACTAGAAGTCCTACCAGGATTCATTATTGGCGGTCACAATCTCAGCAACATAAGGTATACAGACGACATAGTGTTGATAGCAGACATAAAAAGAAAGCTACAAAAACTCCTACTACCTCATCTCAGAAATATAGACAGATCCTCAGTAACCCCATTGCGTAGTAGTGGCTTTATTGCCCTACTTGGGGTGAAATGATTAAAAAAAAAAGAAGTGAGATCTCATAATTTCACAGTTGAAATTGCTAGTTGCAACCGTAAGTTCTATGCATATAGTTTCTTCTCCCGCACTTATCGCTGGCGGAACGCTCTTCTGGCTCTATGTTTTTTGTCAACTACGATAATCAATAATTTAAACAAAATTTCAATCGTCATCTTCTGTCTCCTCAAATTCTGTTCTTATATTGTTCTCTATGTTTCTTTGCGCTCTAGTGAGCCTTGCTTGGGCAAAATGACTGAAAATATATATATATATATATATATATATATATATATATATATATATATATATATATATATACAGCTATATAATATATACAGCTATATAATAAATGCAGATGCCAGTGTGTCAAATTTTTTTAATTAAAGGGAGACAACTCTCAATAGATCATCTTCTTCTATATAATAAATGCCAATGTCAGTGTGTCCACTGTATCACTTTTTTTCCGGTAATCCTGAAATTTTGGATTCCCAAGTTTTCATTACTGCGATTGTTTTCGGCCATTTTTTTTACCTGATCTTTTGTACGATAACAATTTTTATAACTTGGAAATAAATTTGGGAATAATCGAAATTAATTGCGAAATCCAGCGAAAGACACCCATAAAATAAAAATAATTGTTTGTACGGAGAGTAAGGATTTATATCAAATTCTCTTTAAATTAAGTGGTGAAAGAAGAATTATCGTTGAACTTTTAAAAGATAAACTTAAATATCAATGCAATACTTAAATGCAGCGATCAATTTTGAGTTCTTCTGTAGTTTATTGTTACCTATCGCATCTAATCCTCGCTACCTATTTTGATGAAGGCCCAATCAAGAGACCTTCGCACAATTTAACTTAATAGGACGTCTTTTAAGCTAGTTTTTTTTTTAATACTGTGTACCTTTAGAACGAAGTTGACCATAGCTTTCAAAATATTTTTCCGTCTCTGATTTTTCAGGCTTTCATAGGAAAGATAATGAAATCGCATACACTCCTCTTCGGCAGAGTTTTGAATTTTTCCCTTCTACACTGACCGACACACAAGGTTAAACTCTGCAATTTAACCCATATTTGGAAGGAGATGAGAGTTTATTTATGCCTTTCCCAAGGCATTATGCCTTTATCCAACAAAGATATGAATTTATTTATATAGGTAATGATTCGAACTCGACCTGCCGATTCTAGATCGCGCCGATAACTATTACGCTACCAGCACGTATTAAAACTGAAAATCCCGTAAAAACTCCGAATGTGACAGAAAAGAACGCAGGTTGTCCATGTGTCACAATAAAGTAGTCGTATTTATGACCGGCGTATCCAGCAACTGTGTTTTATTGTCGGAAAGACGAATGAAAATGAACGCGCAATGGCTTCATGCTTCTACAGGGCTTCCCGGCTTTACTTTACCTAACAGCTGCTTAATCGCGATGTCATGTAAATAAACCTGTCGTTGACTTTTATATTTGTACGTCTGTCAGTTTTTCAGGCATAAAAATCAACAGTCGTCAAATTTGACAATGCAACAAGTGTGAACCCCCCCCCCCAAAAAAAAAACACTTTTTAAAATTATCTGTTCATATATTCTCACTATCAAAAACAAAGAATATATACATACATATATATTGAGACATGTTTCACTGAATAATTTAGACAAGTTTTGTCTACTTATTTTCAATCGGATCCTTTCATATTCACGGATAAGCTTCTTGGTATCATTATTAAAGGAAGAGAGAAAATTACCGTGTTGATACATATTCATTTATTCCGAGTACTTTCGGCATTGGCACAATGTCATCAGCAGGGTGTTGCGGCTTTTTACATAACCTCAGCGGTTTTCGTTTCACTAGTAAAACATTTTAACTTTCAAATAAATACAACAATTTTCTCTTAGAAAAAAACAACAATTTTCAGAACAATATATATCCTGTAGAGAGTCATTGCAGCCCCATTTCTGAAGGAATTCAACACATAAAAGAAAAAGAAGCCTGAGCCATTAAAACATTCTTCTTCTTCTGTGTGCCATGCTCCTTCAGGACGCTGACAATCATGGCTCTCCACAATTTCCCGTTCCTTGTAGCTCTTAGTAAATTCTGCCTGTTATCTCTCCTGGACCCTGCTCTGCCAACCATTTACACAAGTTCGTTAGTTGCTGGTTTCCTCTGTTCCTCTTAACTTCACTATGTCCTGTGAGTGTCAAATTTTCTAAGCCCTCTTTCCTCATTATGTGCTCTAAAAATTTCAACTATGTCTTTCTGATTTCTAAGTATACGTGTCCTTTTTTGTTTCCATTTTCTCTAAAAGTTTATCGTTGCTCACATTTTCAGT